AAAATTATACAAGCTAGTCGATGACTGACTTGTGTAAGGCTGTCATAGGGCTCTGCTGTTTCTGCCTTGTTCCCTCTCAGATACACACATAAGGAAAGTAAAGCAATTTACTTCTGCGTTAATTCTGCCTGACATTTACAATTACCACTGTGTTTGGTTGCAGCAGGGCCAGCTTTAACAGGGTTGTTGACTGTCAAACTCAGTTAAATCTCTTTAGATCTCAGCCCTCCTTTCATGGGGACCTTATTGTTGGTGTGTGTAAATGTGTGTGCGGATGAGGAAGGTCAGTGTGTACTTTAATTGTACAGTTCTAAATTAATGTGAGCATGTTCAGTGTTAGGTATGGCAAAGCTCAGTAGGCCTGCATGGGAAATTTCTATGTTCATGTGAACACGTGCACCTGTGTACACCGGGAAAGACTTTGAATGGCCCAGCGGGGGCCTTCAGTGACCAGATGGAGCTTATTGCTACGATGAGAAATGATAAATCCCTTCTACTTCCAGTGATTATTGTGAGATGGAAAATGACATTAGCAAGCCAGGCAGTATTGGCCGGGTTTTCATGCTCTCTTGATTTTGCTTCCTCTCCAGTTACGGGCATCCAAACAGTTCAGGGAAGTGGCTGCTGTAATTTACTAATGACATGAACACTTAACAGGGGACAGACAGACAGACTCATGAGGACTGTCAGACACGTTGGTATTGATTTAGTAAGATGACACTTTGTCCTAATGGAGGCATTATGCAGTTTATACAATATCAAAGCAGGCCGCTGGAGGAATGGACCTAACATTTAGGGGCAATAAAATACTTTTTGTTTTATTGATCACGTCAGACTACATACAGTATATTTATATACGCACTGTACGTATGGAGAGAATTATGCAATAGAGTATGATGAGCAGGATATGTTTTGGCTGTAAATGTGAGGAAAAAAAAGGACTGACAGCAATCATCATTCTCACACAGCTTATATTAAGAAAAAGTAGTTTAAACAAACCTCTCTATGCTGAGATTTATTTGTTGGGATTGTGTAATGCACATTCTTTACAAGTTCATTGGTTCACTGACTGAAAAATAGCTTTCAAGGTAATGGGTGTGTATACTTTTTTTAAATGTAATCTCAGTATAACACACTGTTTTTACTAAACAGGTATGCAAAGATAGTTCAGTGTTTCATTTTGCTGAGCCTCCTAAATTAATATTTAGATACTAGTAACGAAGGTATTAAACTTGTAAGATAAAAAATATAGCATTTGTGAAATACATTTATTTTCTATTAAACAACAGTATAAAGATGAAACATATGACAATAAGAGTATTAACAAACCAGTCTGTGCACTTACAGAACTACAGCACATACACAACACACAGGATAGAAATACTGAAAGTTCTGGATTATTTCAACAAGTCAATAAAAAAGAAAAACAATTTAAGTACAGTAGCAAGAGATGAATAAGACAAATGTTAGATTTCAGCTTTGACCACACCTTGGAAAACTGAAACACTGCAAAAAGGCAGATGAGACACAGACAGACAGAGCGGGGCACCTTGCCTACTTTCCCTTATAACAGAGGTATGGCTATCAAAGCCTTTTTAACAATGTGATGGTCTGCTAGCGCCTCAGTCTATGTGGATGGAAAATGTGAGGAGAGATCCTAGTAAAGGTCCAGTCTCATCAAGTCCACACTAACCCTTCAACTCTCCCCCACAGTTTTTTGCTATGCCTAGAAAACATTCTTAAGTTTGGACTTTTGTTAGATCACTTTAAACAAATAATGAATCAAGAATTTCATATTGTCTTACAAACCTGGTTAATAAAAACTAAATAACTCGGTTTGATTCTTTACTACAGTAACGCTGCTTGTTCACACATTCACACATTTTTAAAATTCTGCATTACAAGCATTTTAGTGATGTCTGTTTTCTTGTATGACAATAAACAACTTACATTATGAAGATTAAGAAATAGAGCAGTATATTTTTATTAACATTTATCCTTTATTGGTTTAATAACAAACTAAACAGCTCTTTGACTAAATAAATAAGTGGTCAAGACTCCCTTTTTCCCAGGGTGATGTTACTCTAAATTGAAAGATAATATCAATACACACATTACACTAAACATGCTCTGTACCACGGTTTCCTACATAAGAGCTTGCCACTCTTCAAACAGCTCAACTGTGATTATCTAAACAGAATTGTGCCAGGAAATCAGATCCAGCCCTTTGTTTACACTCGACATATTTCAAACTGTTTCAGTCATCTCACCTCTGTAGAGCTTGGAAATCTCATCTTACAGTCGGAGTCCCTATCTGGATGAGATCAGAAACTAGTCATCAGAGCCGAGACCATCTGTTTACACCAAGACAAGCCGCAGAGCTCTGACTCAGGGTTACTCAACACCCCCCAGGCGATGCAGCTGACTTCCAGTGAAAAAACAGGTCTTGTGGCATAGAAGCCACAGCTCTTCATAACCACTCTGATCTAAACAACAGGACTGGAGTGTTGTGGAAGCTAGTTATGACTAAAGTAAAGATGCTATATTGAGCTGTCAACCAGTCAGTATTTTCCATGCCTTATACGGTGGATATGATGCAATTTAGTTTATTATTATTATAGGTTTTAATAGCCATCCCTGGTAGGCAGGTGGTTAAGGCACAGTGCTCTCGCTGCTGCGGCCCGCGTTTGAATCACGGTTGCGTCAGGAAGAGCATCCAGCGTAAAACATGCGCCAAATGTCAACATGCGAGTCGTCAGTGTGACGATTCGCTGTGGTGACCCCTAAATGGGAAAAGTCTTGAGTGACTTTCTTATTATTCAAGGTTTTAATAGAAAAGAAGAAGGCTTTAATAGATAGTATATGTAATGTGTTTTTGATTACTGCAAATTTAATGCAAAAAAACCCCAAAAGTTTGCAACCACGTTTGCATTTGAATCCAGTGAAATCTACGTCAGTAATATTATATTTGACTGGTGGGTTCATCTTGCACGTTTAGTGAAAGCTGATTTAAATAGGCAACAGGCTTTGGAAATAACCTCTTACATCAATCCTAATGCACCGTCTCTGTCTACCTTCTCACCTAATTTCAGTTATATTTTACCACTGGTTAAGAGAGCAATGTTTAGAAATTTGTTGGTGTCAGTGTTGACTTACTTTAGTACATATTTGGTTACTTTTCAGAACTGATGTGCACAGATGAAGACCTTATGGTTCAGTCAGCACAGTACATATATCATCTCATCTGTACTCTTAGTGTCCAAAAACTCTTTAAGACTTTCATTTCACCAACTGAATGAAAAAACATAACTTTTTTCATGAATATCCATCACATGATTTGCTGCAGATAAGTCTGTCTGAATATAAAACCTTATAATAAACAAATTTCCAGTGGGCCAGCCAACAACAACAGACATTAGCAAGCAACTGTCTCATTCCCCAGCTACATTATTCCCATACATTGGGTAATTCCCCCTTTTGTGTAATTGCATGTAAAAGCCATTATCATCTGGGTCCATGCTAATCATATTTTGAGGCTGGGCTCTGGGGTAATTGTTGAACTTTCTGTCAATGTGTGGAGATAGAAATGCAGTCCTGGCACTGGTATAGCTGCAGCTGCTTCCCTTTTCAGGTCTGAACCCCAAAACCGCTTTTCTCCCTGCCCTGAAGTGGACTATGGACCATAGTTAATTTCTTTTAGATGTCTTAGAGTTTTATTATTGTTACCGTTCCTTTAGAGTTGGCATTTCACTCCTCCAGATGAGAAGCATTCTAGCATTGCTCAGCCAGAGTGGATAGCGAGAAACAGAACAAAAAGAAGGGAGAGAAGGCAGGAGAAGTTCATGTTAGCAGTGTATGTAGAGGCAACAGTCACAGAGCAGCTTGATTTTTGGAAACACTTAGACTCATCAGTCAAAAGACCTGCACCTGCACCAGTGTTTGTGTTTCTGTGAGAGCAAGAGAGCTATACTGTAAATATGCAAACATATGTCAATGTGAATGTGTGTGTGGTCACATGTGTATATGTGCACATGTTTGTGTGGGATGGATTTTAGTTTTGGAGACAATGAGTACTCTATCTATGCTGACTCAGCATCCACACAATTAATATAGGCTGATTTTATTTAGAATAAATCCAGAACTTTATCCCCAAAATCTATTTTCACAATGTGTTGAAGCCTCTACACACCACAGTCCCACTGCTGAGATCTTCTCAGGACTGTTTTATCCAACCAAACAGGCCTATCCAGTTTTACTATCATGACAAAACCCATCAAGGCAAACACCACTGGTCAAGATGGAAACAGCTAATGTTGCAACTGCAAATCCATTTTTAATGAAAAAGAATAACTGAAACAAATAACTGACTAGAGTCCGAACAGCAGTCTGTTTTTGGTCAGACAATGTGGACCCTGTCTCCTCCCAGCAGCCCACAGTTTTAGATTATGAACCAGAAACTCAGCAGAGAGGACATGTGAATCACGCTGAGATTGAAAATTCATTCCTTGATCTAGACTGTGTAGATTCATGACTGGATTAAATAAAACTCATAAAATCACACTTGATATTAAGGTTGTGTTTAGGTGTCTGGGCTATTTGGGGCAGTGTTCACTCACGGGTATAGGTTGTTCACTTTGTGTTCAAAAGCAGAGACATCCTGTCGCTTAATATGAAAGAATCGATAAACAGGCGATCATGTCGCTGCCTGTACCTTTAACTAAACAGGTTTTCCTGCCACTTGCCATTACATAACAACCAACATACCGGCACTGGTCAACAAACAGCCTGATTATCGGATAGGAAGTGGGCCAATGGGTGGTCCCGCAGACCAATCGTCCAATCAACAGTAAGGGCCGTGCGGAGTGGGCGGGGCTGCGAGCCTTTTTGAACTGTGAGAGCGACTGGTGCAATTGTTTGTTGAGACTGCCACGCATCCGGTAAGTCTCTGTGAGTTGCTGTAATCTCAGTCTGAGCGTTGGATATTGATTCAAATACCTTGGTTTGGCGCCAGGACGTTAGCAAACCTATTCAAAGGCTAAAACAAGCTGAGGGAAGTCATTTAGAAATTGTGCTCAACTTAGCTTTGTTGTACCTGCAGGAAAACGGAGTTCTGGGTGTCCGGTAAGGCCCAGAGCTTTTATTTAAGAAAAAACGGTTTGTATTAATGGTTACTTAACTCATAATCATTTGCTTCCTCCTGCTACAGGTATGTGATGCACAAACACTCTGTGGAAGCTCGGCTGCGGTTTATGTGCTTCTGAGAAAACAATCAGAATCTGCTTTATTGGCTAGGTATGTCGAACACACGAGGAATTTGATTCTGGTACATCGGCTCTCAGTGTGTAAATTTTAGTCATTTAAAGAACATCGGAAAAACAAGACACTGGGTTGAACCCGTCTGGATTCACAAGGACTGTGGAAACTGGACCAAAAAGGTGAGTGACAGCCTGGAAGTTGGCTAATGTAGCCATACTGTGTTGTAGGCTAACCTCACCTGTGCTGCTTCATGTTTAGCTTGCTAGCTTTTTAACAAAACAAAGGCTGGTTGTTGAGGAAAATGTGTTTGACTTTACTGCGCCATGAGCAGCAGACCAGTGTAGTAAAGTGTCTTCATATTTATCTGAAAGTTCATGTGTTTCAGCAAGTAGACGGTCAGAGGGACACACAAGCGCCTGTTGGTTCACAGGTTTCACAAGAAGAAAATGCTTTCGGTCTGAACATTGTGGGCCCCAAGTTAACTGGCTGAGTAGAAAGCAGGGGTTTATTGTGAGTTCAATGACAAAATAATTATCTCAGTTCTTCAATGCTCAGTTTTAGTAATTTGTTAATGCAGTTATTAAATTTGACAATTTAAGTCTAATTCAATAATCCATTTCAGTTCAAAGGGGCTTTATTGGTATACAGGCTTTAACAATGTTGCTAAAATTATAATCAAATTAGAATCTGTTTATAGGTACTTCATTATTTGTAAAGTTTAAAATATAAAATTTTAAAGTGTGCTTGTGTCTATCATTCACTGTCCCCCATGTTATGGTATATTGATACATAGGGCAACCAGACAGGCCGTTCCTCCCTCTCCTACAGAGTAAAAAATTTCAAAATGAATGTTTTTCCTTTTTTAGATTTTTATGTGATGTCCTACTGAAAGTGTAATAGGCATAGATCTAGGCTGCCAGGCACATAAAACTTCTAGGAGAAACTCTTAGCAGTTTTATCTGCTGTGTGGTTGATCTCGATCGCTTGCTCCCGTGTTGTCCGTCCGGCCATTTGAAGATTTGCGACAACGTTGATCTACGAAAGGTATGTGGTTTTTCTTTACTTCTCTAGCCTGGTTGGCTTCTCCCTCAGGTGGCTGCCGTGCCACAACGATTTTATTTTTGTCCTAGATATCCTCGGTCAATGTAGCGCATCCGTTTTACAAAAGGTAATTGTCGGATGTGTTACATCCATGGCCCAGGCCACCCCCAGCACCTCGGTAACGGGCACAGATAGTCCCAGCAGCTCCGCCCACGCACAGGTGGGAGTGCGTTCCAGGCAGCGAGGCAGACCTGCTCTCAATTATCGGAGCAGTATTTAGGGAGAGCGTTGGTGTGTCCTCGTCGCCAGATTATCACCTGTTATCTTGTTGGTAATGTTATATCGTACCCATGTCAAAAATCTGTTTTATGGACTGCTTCCCTGTTGAGCCTGGCTTTATTCTTTGAACTATATGCTCTCTGCTTATGAGTATTTTTTGCACCTGTTTTCTTGCCCTTATGTTTTGAAGAGTCACCTTATGTTCAAACTGTTTCGCTGTTGGCTTGGTGGTTTTTTTTATTATTTTTTTTTTTAATGTGTTTTCCCGTACTGGGTCGGCTCTCGGCTGTTTTTGTTTTTCTCAGCACCATTTGGTGTCGGGAATTGTGAACCGTTTCCTCCAGCAGAGCTCCCCAGCACTAGGAGACCTGCTCTTACTGTGACTTCCTCTGTGGCCCTGGAACCCTACTGCTTGCCTTCATCACACCGCCCCGCTACCAGCTCTGCCTCAACGGGGAGCCTGCACACTAGACCAGCGATCTCATGTGCCAGCTCCCACCTCCGAATACCTAAAACAAGACAATATAAAGTATTCAAGAGAAATCGAGAACAAGATTTTACATGTGCATATTTACAATGCATTTTACCCCCCTGGATTTGAGTATTGCACCTCAGTTGACTATTGCATTTCACCTAGTTTATCCCTGTAGTAATGTATTGTACAGTCCCATAGCTGTGGGGAGGAAAGACCTACGATAACGCTCCGCTGTGCATTGGGGATGTAACAGTCTTGTGCTAAAAGAACTGTTCAGAGCCTCCACTGTGTGGTGCAGGGGATGGGAGGGGTTGTGCATGATGGATGTTAGTTTTACCAGCATCCTTCTGTCCGCCACCTCCTCGATGGGATCCAGAGGGCAGCCCAGGACAGAACCAGCTTGTTTAGTCTCTTTTTGTCCCTGTCCATGCTACCTCCTGCCCAACCCACAACAGCGTAAAAAACTGCAGATGCCACCACAGTATCATAAAAAGTCCGAAGCCCCGCACACACCTCAGTCTCCTCAACAAGTGGAGGCGGCTCTGTCCCTTCCTGTACAGGGCATGTGTGTTTGTCCAATCCAGTTTATTGTTGAGGTGGACACCCAGGTATTTAAAGGTGTCCACAATCTCAATATCTGAGCCCTGAAAGATCACCGGCGTGAGTGGTGGTGATTTCCGCTGGAGGTCAATCACCATCTCTTTTGTCTTCCTGGTGTTCAGGACCAGGTGATTTTTCTCACACCACTCCACAAAGTCACTCCCCCTATATTCCCACTCGTCCCCCCCAGATACATATCCAACAATGGCGGTGTTGTCTGAGAACTTTTGTAGATGACAGTGGTGGGAGTTGCACTTGAAGTCTGACGTGTAGAGGGTGAACAGAAAGGGGGAAAGCACCATCCCCTGGGGTGTCCCCGTGCTGCAGACTACCATGTCCGACACACAGTTGTGCGGCCTTACGAACTGAGGTCTGTCTGTGAGGTAGTTAATGATCTATGCAGACAGGTGTTGGTCCACACCTGGCCCCTCCAACTTCCCCCACAGCAGTGACGGCTGGATCATGTTGAAAGCACTGGAGAAGTCAAAGAACATGACCCTCACAATACTTCCGGGGGGCTCCAGGTGAGATAGGGCTTGATACAGCATGTAGATAATAGCGTCTTCTACACCAATGCCAGCACGGTATGCAAGTTACAAAGGGTCGAGCTCTGAGCTTACTTGGGCATGAAGATGGCGGAGGACGATCCTCTTCACGGTCTTCATCAGATGGGAGGTAGTAGGCTGTTTGTTATTAAATGAATGGGGGTGACGCTGAGGTCAGTGTCTCAGATTCTAGAGTCACAAGTTGTTCAGGGTTCTTGTCTCCAGCACAAAGTACAGCACACGTTTCGTTGTATAAGTTCATGTCTTTATTGATAAGTGACAAAAATCCAGCAGGTTAATTTTGCTTTTATAAGAACAAACATAACATTCAATATACTGTATAACTCAAGATGCACTAACTTAAATGTAACATCTTCTGGTTAAGTCATAGCAGTAATACATTAAGTTGGGTTTACTACAATAAACCTCTATAATTTTAGGCTACCCCTAGCTGTCGTTCCACTTTTTTGGTCACGTATAACGTGTATACAAAATCCCCAAACTGCTTCCAAAAAAATCTGGTAGTGTATGTCTTTGTTAGAAACAAACATGCATCATGAAACTAATTTTTTCTTAAATGTCAACTTATCCTGGTAATTTTGCCTTAAGTATAAAGACCTTGTTACTAAATATAATCTTTAACAGTAGCTTACTGCTGCTTTGTCATCTGTTTAAGATTGATCTTCAGCCACAGTCTATGCTTGTATTTCCATATAGCCATCATAGACTGATATGTTAATCTTAATGTTTAAAAAAAAAACAAAAAAAAAAACAAAAAAAAACAAAGCTACCAGTGTGCAGAGCTTTTGATGGTACCCCCAGGAGTCACCAGTCTTAAAACATGACTCTTGGAGCTTTAAAGTTACCATAAAATTCAGTTTTTTCAGTCTCCAGGCATTATAGCTGATGTTATTACAAATTACAGGTCTGAAACCAAAAACAATTCAAAAAGCTAAAGGCAACAGTTAAAAAGGGAGCATGATGTCATCTTTGATCACACATTAGATGCAGTCAAAAGAACAGGAAAAGACAATTGATAAACTGGAGATAAGGTCTCCAGTTTTTGGTGAATGCTTCCATATAATCTAAATCTTTTGTGTTGTAAAAACAATAATGGTCACAGTATAGTAGGTACCTTGTTAATTTTACTTTTGAGGTTTTGTTTTTGTCAATGCATCTCGGGTGCCATCTGTGAGATGCTATTTTAGGGAATTTTTTAATATAACATGAGCAGCTGGACGAAGCAGAAGTTTGGCTCTGCAAGATTAGAAAAAAGCTTATGTGCACTATAGATGCATAACTCTAGATACCGGACTGAAACATGGCGCCCATTCTGTGCAATTAAAGTTGCTCACCTGGTGCATTTATTCAGGTCCTTGGTGCCAGAACCACAGAAAACCTTTTTTGTATGTATATGTAGTATATATTCTACATATATGTACAAATGCAAGTGCATCATAGCCAGAAGATACATTCACTTTGCTAGAACAGATTATGGTATGTGATTTATGACAGTAATCACAAATAAAGGAGCTGCACAAAAATATTGCTTTGAAAAGATGCCATCATTTATCTACTTAATTTACTTCTTTGCCTGTTCTTTTTTACAGCTGATGTTCTCAAATAACCTCTTGGTGGAATGTTCCCTAATTTTAATATGTACATACAAAATGTGAACAAACACAGTACATTCATAACTAAGTCTCATGAAACATTTATCACCACGATAGGTGGTAGTGAATCAGGCATCACATTGCTCAGGGAAATGTATGGCTCGTATATAATGTGGGCTTGAATCCTAATCAGAGGCAGGTCAGTACTTTGTCACTCTCTCTCCACTTTGCTGCTGTTTAAACCAGACATGTGAAAGGAACAAAAAAAACAAACAAAAAAAAAAACAACAACAAAACATTGGATATACTTGTGTTCCTCATTAGGCCGAGAAACGTTAGGGTGTTTCAGTTCAGTGGTTTCCTGGTGAATTTATGGTCAGCAGATGTTTCGTTCTCATGACCAGTCCCAGGCATTTCCACAGTTATCTTTTAAAGGAGCATTTAACAATTTATTTTTCTAAAAGAAACAAATGTATGTTACTGGATGTTTATATTCTAAAATATAATTATTTTTCATTTTGTGATTTTATGGCCTTGCTACCGATTTAATCACTTTAAACAGCTCATTATTATTGAATAAATTAATTATTTCAGTTGTGCCTTAGCTTGTCATTTTGGGTTTGCATATGTATATATTTGTAACATTTTATTTCCTATGTTTTGAAGTGAGATGCATTTATTCATTTTGTTTAAACCTCACCTACCCTCATTTGTTTGCATGCCTTTGTCTGTTTCCTTTCCGTCATTGTTTATTTAGTTTTGATAATCTGGCTTTTTATTATGGTATATTATGCTCTTTCTGTATTCAATTATTTTGCAGGCAAAGCTGCAAACAATTTGCGTGTTTTACATATTATTCAGCTGAAATCCAAAGAACTGCTAACCAGGCATTTCTGGTTCTATTCACAGTGGTTGTCTCAAGTTTGACACTGACCCTAAGGA